TGACCAGGGCTGACTGAAAGCAAACATCCAGCTCCCACGACTCCGTACTAGGCCTGTGCCAAGGCAACAATCCTGTTGTTCCTGCCTGGTAGATTTGCATGCTAATGCTGCATAACCCTCCTTCCCTCGCAGCTGCGAGCATCACCTCTGCACTGCTGCCAGTCCAGGGCAACCATACCACACTGACGCCCTGAACCTCGGTGATCATGGAAGCCAGGCAATGCTGCTGGCACCCTACACAAAATGTTTTGCTGATTCAAATCTGCCACTCTATAGCCTAACAGCAAATCTGCCCAGAGACAGCACCCGAATCGTCTGAATTCCATGCACAGTGCCCTCTTTTGAACTCAAGACCCCACAGCTTCCAGTCACTGGGTTATTCTGCAACGAAGCAAACACACGTGGGGACTAGGGTTCCTGCTCACTCACCACCTGGACTGACTGTCCATCTGCACCTCCAGCAAAGACAACGGTGGGTATTTTAAGGCCACACGAAGAGGCTCCCAGACTTCTGGTCTCTGCTGTCTGTCTCCCAATCCACTCGAGAAAGACTCACAACACAGCCCGTTTCACAGATGCCTTTTAGTTTGACTTAACGCGCACCTATTAATCAGTTGAGAGTCTCCAGTCGAGGGGCCTCTGTAAAGGTTTAATAAACTACAAGTGGAGCTGCCTCCCCGAAGTGGACACTCATTGCTGTGACTAACAAGTTTCCATTGACGTGAACCATAAAACTTCCCCCCCCCGCCTGCTCCTCCTAGCCCCCATCACTTTCCTTTTGTTAAGCGCTCGGAGAAATGGAAATGGAAAAGCAAGTGGCGTTGGTTTCGTTTGAGTCGCCGGGCCGGAGACAATAGGAAAACGCTTCTCGCTCCCCTTGGCCCCGCGCTGCGATGTGGTTTGCAAGAAAAATTAGAAGAGGATACGGAGAGGAGAGAGGGAAGGAGCAGTCCGGGCAACCGAGAGCGAGGAAGGAACGGTAATCCGTCCGGGAAAGGCACTTTTCTCCGAGGAGACCGGCGATTCAGGAGAGAGGAAAAACTTCCCCTCGGCGGCGGTGCGTGTGCGTGGGGGAGCTGCGTGCCTCCACCCGTGAGATAAATCAGCCACCGAGGCCGGCGGCGGGAGAGGGCCGCTGAATTTGTCGTGCAGGACTGATCTTGCCGGAGACCTATCCCGACTTAAGGACCATCGGCGAAGAATTAAGGTCCCCTTAATCGCCTCCCCGATGAAGTTAGGCGCAGCCCGTGTGCTAGGCCCGGCTGCTGGAGGGAGTGGAGTTTCTCCCAGGCGTCCTTCGGCTGTGAATAGAAACCGCCGTGCCACAACGAGACCCGGAGGACTCCCGATAACCGCACCTTCCCACTTCCCCCCTCTTTTTCCTTTTTTTTTTTTTTTTTCTTTTTTCCCCCTCCCGTCCCTCCCCGGTGCCCCCGGCCCCATCCTGCCTGCCCGGCGGAGGGCGGCGGGGCCGGGGCCGGCGGGCGCTGCGGCTGGCGCTGCTCGTCCCGAACGTGCCTCGGCGCCGGGCTGCCGCATTTCTAAGCACCAGCTAATAATGCGCCCGGTTCAGACATTAAAAAAGAGGCGAAGAAGAAGAAGAAAGATTACCGAAATGATGGTGACATGCAAATTTCCCCCGCCCCGAAATTAAGTAAACATTTGAAGCCTGGACTAATAAAATCCCATCTGTGTTACTTCATATCGAGTTAGTAGAGAGCTGAGCTGTGGAATTTTGTAATATCTCACGAACAGACATCTCAATCAGGCACTAATCCCGTGATTTTACTGCCCAGCCTCTCAGGCCGGGGGAGGCGCCGGCGGCGGCCGGAGAGCGCGGAG